TGGTTACATTGGAGGAAAGAAACCCCACTGGGGTTCGATCCTGGGTGCCATGGGGGGAAGGGGGAATCCACCACCACTGTGGTGGGAACCCATTGGCTCTTTCTCTTTCTCTTTCCCTCAAATATAAAATCATTCATTTTATTATATCGTATCTATGGTCATGTGACATTGCAGCAAAGATTTTCTACGAACCCAACACACTGTTGGGCTTACTTGTTCTTCTGCTTCAAACTTAGAAGCCGATAACATTTCATATAAAATAGCAATCAACGTAAGCTAACCCATCTCTTGTTACGCTTGTTCATTCTGGTTCTTCACTGTTTTTCTTGGAAAGATTTGTCTTTCTTACATTGTTCTCTGTTCTGGTTGTCAAAGACTAATCTTGATGTATCCTTTTATTTTGATTTTCTGTAAGAGAGAGGTTTAGGCTCAAAATGATGCCATTGAATATAGTACATGATGGTAATGGATTGCCTCGAATCATACTCACGGAGCCAACTGGGTCTTCAACATAGGTTGGTTGGTTTCAATCAATTATTATGTTCCCTCTGTTTTGCTGCCCCTGCACTTGTAATTTTCCTTGTTCATTTTTGCAGATTATAGATATGATGGCCTAAAGTATAAATTTTTATCATTTGGTGCATGATATAGATGTAAAAGGGGTGTCAAATTAATGAACAAGAGTATTTTAATTGGGGTGTTTATCAGATATTCCCAGTTTAAATTTGGCATTTTAAAAAATTAAATATGAGTATTTTTGGCATTTTAAAAGTTTCATTAAAAGGAGCCAAGTGTTTCCCGTGTTTTTGTCCTGCAATGTTTTTAAGAAGAAGCACCTCTCAAGTGCTTCTTCCAAAACCACTCCAAGTGCTTTTGGATCTCACTCAAAGTGCTTTTGTAATTTTTGCCAAACACCATTTTTAAAAGAAAGCAGCGCTTTCACTTATTTAGAAGCGTTTTTCGTTACTCCAAAATCATTCCCAAACAAGTCCTTAATTTGCCAAACCACAACCTTTGTTAATATCATATGGCTCATGGTCAACCCCCAGAATTATATGAGCACATAAATTGATTATGTTCTTGCATGGAATTCTTTTCTCTTAGATTTATTAGCAATGGTCGAATCGAGGGGTGTGTCATTTTCAATTATATGTTAAGTATCTTAGTTAAGCATTTTTTTTCTTATCCTCGTCTTCATTCCTGTAATATTTAAATTGGGAATTCCTCATTCCTGCTTTTAGGCCCCACACATAGTTATGCGGGTTGGGCAATGGCGTAGGACCCACAAAAAATTGGGCCTTCTATAACACATTTTAGCCCAAGAAATGTAGTAGCAAAAAATGTCTTTTATGTGTGTACCAGATGCTTTTTTGGGTTTATTTCTTTACTTTTTATATAGTGAGCCTCTTTTATATAAACTAACAAACTTTTTATTTAAATTTTGCTAAAATTAAGGTAAATATTGAACATAAAAGGCCTCAATTTTGATTTCTACCTAGGGCCTCTAAAATCAATGGACCGGCTCTTCCCACCTTCGTTAGAGAATGGATTCTCTAAACCACCCCATTATGAAAAAAAATGAATAAAAAATTACTTTGTAGAACAAGAAAAAAGCATTATGAGCACAACATATAATATGTATCAATTTAATTTTTATTAACTAAAAATCTAGACACTACATTTCCAAAACATGATCATTATTATAGAAATAGCACCACAATCACACATCTTAATAACGTATTTATATAAAAATAAATTATATATATATATATTCTAAATGGAACGGGTTAGAGTTAGGGATCATCCTAGCCCTTCCCCGAATCCGTCTCCATACCCCTTCCTTTGTATCTGACCAAGACTTTTACTGCAGAGAAAATTGGCATCCCTTGTGTAGAACCAACTTAAACCGGTCCACGTGTAATCAATCTGCCACCTCATCACCAGTCTACCCTTGGTTTTGCCCACGTCGATGCCCCACAGATTCTCGAAGAAACCCACCGTTCTGATGGAGAGAGACTTACCTGCACCGGGGATAGGGCTACAGTCCTATCCCCGGTGCAGGCAAGTTTTTTTCGTTCTTGATGACACGACCAAAAAGTTCCTTCCCTTTCCAAACATACCATCATCCACTCTAATTTCATCCAACAAGACGATGGTACGGAAGTAATTTTCGTATAATTGAGGCCCAGCTTCACCTCCCAATCTTTCCTTCCCTCCCCGCGTCTAGAACCCAACTCAAACGTTCCAGAACTATCTGGCACAACCTCAAACCTCCTATATGTTTCTCACCGTCTATCCTTCACTTTTCTCGAATTATCTCTTACATCACTATAAATTTGGAGTCCCTGTACCAAACCCATCTCACATTTTGACATCACAAAGCTTTAAAACTTTCTTCCGAGCTTTCAAAACCAGCTTTGCTAAAATTTCTTAAGAATTCTGTGTGTGAATTTAGAGCGTCAAGCAGTTCAATGGCGACCAAGACTGAAGGCAAGGCCATAGGCATCGACCTTGGCACAACCTATAGCTGCGTCGGTGTGTGGCAAAACGACCGCGTTGAGATCATCGCCAACGACCAGGGCAACCGCACCACTCCCTCCTACGTGGCCTTCACAGACACCGAGCGGCTCATCGGCGATGCAGCCAAAAACCAAGTGGCCATGAATCCACAGAACACCGTCTTCGACGCCAAGCGTCTCATTGGCCGCCGATTCTCCGACCCTACAGTCCAAAGCGACATGAAGCTCTGGCCTTTCAAGGTCATCCCTGGTCCCGGCGACAAACCCATGATCGTCGTCAGGTACAAAGGCGAAGAAAAGACCTTCTCTGCGGAGGAGATATCTTCCATGGTGCTGACGAAGATGAGGGAGATAGCTGAGGCTTATTTGGGTCAGACCATAAAGAACGCTGTGGTGACTGTCCCTGCTTATTTCAATGACTCGCAGAGACAGGCCACCAAGGACGCCGGCGCTATTTCTGGGCTCAACGTCATGCGAATTATCAACGAGCCCACCGCCGCCGCTATAGCCTATGGGCTGGACAAGAAGGCCTCGAGAAAAGGTGAGCAGAACGTCCTTATTTTCGATCTCGGTGGAGGCACTTTTGATGTCTCGCTTTTGACTATTGAAGAGGGGATATTTGAGGTGAAGGCCACCGCCGGCGATACTCATCTGGGTGGTGAAGATTTTGATAATAGAATGGTGAATCACTTTGTGGCCGAGTTCAGGAGGAAGCATAAGAAGGATATCAGTGGAAATGCCAGAGCTTTGAGGAGGTTGAGGACGGCGTGTGAGAGGGCTAAGAGGACCCTGTCTTCGACCTCTCAGACCACAATTGAGATTGATTCTTTGTACGAAGGGATCGATTTCTATGCGACGATTACAAGGGCCAGGTTCGAGGAGTTGAATATGGATTTGTTCAGGAAGTGTATGGAGCCGGTTGAAAAGTGTCTGAGGGATGCTAAGATTGACAAGAGTCAGGTTCACGACGTGGTTCTGGTTGGTGGGTCGACTAGAATTCCCAAGGTTCAGCAACTTTTGCAGGATTTTTTCAATGGGAAAGAGCTGTGCAAGAGCATAAACCCTGACGAAGCGGTTGCCTATGGTGCTGCGGTTCAAGCTGCGATCTTGAGCGGCGAAGGAGATGAGAAAGTGCAGGACCTGTTGTTGCTCGATGTCACGCCTCTCAGTCTTGGGCTTGAGACTGCTGGTGGTGTTATGACTACTCTCATCCCGAGGAACACAACAATTCCAACCAAGAAGGAGCAGATTTTCTCTACTTACTCCGATAATCAGCCCGGGGTTTTGATCCAAGTCTACGAAGGAGAGCGCGCCCGAACCAAGGACAACAATTTATTGGGGAAGTTTGAGCTCACTGGGATTCCTCCTGCTCCTAGAGGCGTGCCCCAAATCAATGTGTGCTTTGACATTGATGCGAATGGCATTTTGAATGTGTCAGCGGAGGACAAGACTGCTGGAGTGAAGAACAAGATCACCATCACCAACGACAAGGGAAGGCTGAGCAAGGAAGAAATAGAGAAGATGGTGCAAGATGCAGAGAAGTACAAGGCAGAGGACGAGGAGGTGAAGAAGAAAGTGGACGCCAAGAATGCGTTGGAAAACTACGCATATAACATGAGGAACACGGTGAAGGACGACAAGTTTGCAGGGAAACTGGACCCTGCGGACAAGGAGAAGATCGAGAAGGCAGTGGAGGATGCCATTAATTGGCTGGAGGGGAACCAGTTGGCTGAGGTTGATGAGTTGGAGGATAAGTTGAAGGAGTTGGAGGGGTTATGCAATCCAATTATTGCTAAGATGTACCAGGGCGCTGGTGGTGCTGGAGGCATGCCGCCAATGGGGGATGATGACATGTCTGGTGGTCCTTCTACTGGCTCTGCGACTGGACCTGGCCCTAAGATTGAAGAAGTTGATTGAGTTAATTCAAGTGGAGCTCTGTTTTCGTTTTTAAGTTTATGTTCTGTTTTTGGTTAAGCTTGTAAACATGTGTTTTTTGAGTTTGTTTTTTTAAAAGTTCCTAAGCAAGCAGTGTATGTTTATATGTAATGGAGAGTCAGCCACCAATCTAATATAAGAAGTTGGTTTTACTTTTTTGGTTCATAGTGAGACTTGTCTTATCAAAAAATGATAACAAGAACAACAATGGAGAAGTTTCATGTTTGTGCAACCACAGTAGTTTAGTTCATCCTGGGAACCCAAATAAAAAATGCTTTCAAAATGTTTGTGGGAAATTGGTTGGCGATTCACTTGACATAGATGGCAAAATCAATCCACAAAAGAACGTAAAAGAAACTATGCCGTATTTGATGCTTACTCACCTTCAGACTTCGGTGAAATTTAAAATCAAACTAGTTGAATGGCTCCAAAAGTTGAAATGCAGGGAAGGTCAAAATCTTGAGCCGGGCCTTATTGAAATGAGCCTGGACAAGCCATGGCCCAATAACGAACGAAGCCCATCGCAGTCCAGTCAACTCGCATTCTTCTTCATCCAATTCAACATCCTAAAAATTATGGATAAGGAGGAGAAGGAAATTGCTGAGCGCAGTAGCTAGCTGTTGTTGAGTGTTTTGAGCCATGGCTGGGATCACCACCAGCTGCGCATCCAAAGCTATGCTATCCCGAACCACATATAAAACGACGCCGTCTCCACTCTCACTCTCACTCTCACTCTCCTCCGTGGAGTCCAAACTCTTCGGCCTTCGTTTTAATAACTCCTCCAGCTGTTTTAGCTGTCTCTCCTCAACCGTCAGCAGCCCAATAACCGCCCGTTTCGGCGGTGGGCCGCGTTTTCCCGGCAATGACCCCAGGCGCTCACGGAAGAGCGACTCCGATGAGGACGAGGCCCTTGATATCTCCTCTATCAGGTTAATCAATTTATTAGTTTATCGATAATTTATGCATGTGATCAATTTTCGTCAATCGAAATTGAATTTTTGAATTGGTGATTTGTTTTGAAATAGGTCAGATACCGTGAGGCTAATTGATGCGAAGCAGAACATGGTTTGCGTTTTCTTTTTCTTCTGTTATTTATTTTGTCTTAATTTTTCTTTAATTTATGTTAAACTGCTCAGTTTAGTTGCTGGTGAATTGTGGGGGGAAAAAATGAAAAATGCATTATCAAAGTCTTGAAGTTGTTTATTGTTGTTCTGCGTAGGTTGGAGTGGTCTCTAAAAGGGAGGCTATTCGACTGGCTGACGATGCTGAACTTGATTTGGTATACATTTTACCACTAATTTTTGTTTTTCCTTTTTGTGAAATATTATTTGAGCTTCTTATTTGAGTTAGAAATGATGCTTTTATAACATGGTTTTGAAGACTAATCTCTTCTGCATTGTTGCAGGTAATATTATCTCCAGAAGCAGATCCTCCAGTTCTCAGGATAATGGATTACAAGTATGATAGCTTTCATATGATTTTAGAACAAGTCCATAATTCTCTTCATTTCGACTGTTTCCTGTTCTTATTTGTGATAAATGCTCAAAATGTTCTTATTCAAATCGATCCTCTTACAGTTTTATGTTATTATAATGACTTAATTGTACATAGATAGCAAGAGGTGTAACTACTGATGCATTACTGATAAACTGTGTTAGCACATTGACCAGTTTGTTGAGTGGAAATGCAAAATTGGGATCTCAGTGTTTTTCCAATAAATCCTGTTTATTACAAATGTGTTTACAGGGAACCAATTGCCCTAAATATATGTTCTTTTCTTTTCAATCAGAGAACGGGTAGACCTAATTATCTATACCTTTTCTTTTTGTCAGTAAATATAGGTATGAACAACAAAAGAAGAAAAGAGGCCAGCAGAAGAAAAGTGCAGGTGAGTGTCTTCTCTGTCTTGAGACTGTTTCTTTTTCTTTCTAATTCATGCATAATCCTCCAATTTGAGAAGGACACTGACTGGAGTCTTGTCTTATATGTTAGCAAGCCGCATGGATTTGAAGGAGCTCAAAATGGGGTAAAGCACTGAATCATATATTTGGTTTTTTTTTGCATTCAGTCTTATTTCAAATCTCAGAATAATAACATGTTTGTTTGACGTGTAAATTCATTAATGGCTGATTAAATAGATATTGAAAAAAAAAGGTTGAATTACATAGATAGTTGCATATATAACTTTTATATTATGAAACAATATTTTTCTTTGATAGGCTTGCTATCTAATTTGTATCAGCAAATTGTAGAGTTAATATGGCTTCCACCAAAGAAAATGAGAGTATGTTACTTTGAAGTATGAAGCAAAAGTCGAACTCACTAATGGTTAATTTTCAAAAACATCAAACTAAGCACAAAAAAAAAAAAAAAGGTTTTCAGATGTTTATGCATGTGACATTTACTTATATGTTCTAAATTCTATTATTTAATAAAGGGCCTTGATTCCTAATTTGAACTAGATGCTGTACTTTATTTGTATGTATAAATTTTTTGATAATTATTACTGTCTGTACAGTTACAACATTGACCAACATGATTACTCTGTGCGTTTGAGAGCTGCCCAGAAGTTTTTGAAAGATGGTGACAAGGTTGCTTAGATTTCTCAATAATGTCTGAATTTGCCTTCCTATATTAAAACTCCCTGTATTGTTCTTAAGTTTTTCTGTATTGAATTTTTGTAGGTCAAGGTTATTGTCCACTTGAAAGGCCGTGAAAATGATTTTCGAAATATTGCTATTGCACTTATCAAACGCTTCCAGAATGATGTTGGGGAGGTAATGATGTATTTTTGTGTTTTGAATCATAAACAGATAGTAAATACTAAGTGCTTGTTTTTCAAATGCCTGAAGTGCTTCAGATTGGTCTTTTTTTTTTTTTTTTTTTTTTTTTGGAGGGGGGTGGAAAGAGTTTACAATCTAGAGCTCTTTTAAGTTCTGGTTATTTTCATTAGGAGTAAGTCAGCTGTTCAGGTTTTTTTAATCTACAATTGTTTGCTTGTTTCCATGGGTTGCAGCTGGCAACAGAGGAAGCCAAAAGCTTCAGCGACAAGAACATGTTTATAGTTTTAGTTCCCAACAAGGCTATTCTACAGAAAGCTCAAGAACCGCCCCCGAAGAAGAAAGAAAACTCTGCACCTGCAGTGAATGAAATATCAGCTGGTGTCTGAGTGGACTTGAGTTTGAAGCAGGTTTTACATATAGGTAAATCATTTGGATTTTCATTTTGTTTGTCAACTAGGTTGGGAATCTCTGAGGTTGTGTATAGTAGTAGTGTAATAGTGTTGTACGAGAAGAACATGTATAATAGATTTTGATATCAAGACTGTCTTTTCAATTAACAAACTTGCAGAATTTTGTAGACTGTAATTTTCAAAATAAAAAATAACAAAAATGTAAAGCTTTCATATGAAGCAAACATTTCTGGTCCACACTAGATGAACATTTAACAGTTCCATAGCAACAATTAGTCTTGTAGGCAGTCTGATCAAACAATGTAGTGATTGTGTTTGATATATAAGCTCTTATTTCTAGTTGTTCTCTCGGGACACGTGCTTTCGAAGACAAGGAATATGGCCAGGGGAAAGTATATGCGATTGCATCATCAAATAGTCTCGATTGCTTATTTGGCCAGGTGCTGGATGATTGCTGTTGAAGCAGATTAAGTGATCAAACCTGGTTATGCATATTGTTATTCAAATGCTTATTATTATTATCCAACGTTCTTTTGCATATGTAAAGTAGGAGAGACTGGCATGATGTTAATTCGACCCCAGTGAAGCAAAGCGTCCAGAACATGTGCTAGTGAGTTGTAATAGGTTGCTGGTTAATTATATAGAAGTTGGGGTGTTTTGCTAATCTCTGACTCTGTGTGTGTGCCCAGATGGGGAGGCTTCAACTCACCTACCTAACGATTTGAACTTGGCTTAGCTTCTAAGTTCTTAGAACTCAAGTCTTCTCGTTTGCATATTTTTCTTATATATAACTGGGTAACTACTAAAGTTTTTTAAAGCAATGTTTTTGCACTAGTTTAAGTATTTTTCTGTTGGGGGATTTGTGTTTCTTATCAGATATGGGCCCACTGTGACCTAAGTATATCAATCAACAACAAACTTAACTGTATTTTCTTAAGAGCAAATGTGGTCTTGTGAAACATGTTATGTTGTAATGTGCAACCTGAATATCGTTTCTTACTTGGATTTATGAATAAATTGATGACAACGTAACCAAATTCCTTTTTTTTACAATGTCACGGTCTATGAAAGAAGTCAACTAAAGCGAATGATCCAAATGCCAATGATTTCTTGTAATACATCATCAACCATCCCGCTATCCCACCCACCAATGATAAACAAGTTATGAGCTCAAACGGAATAAAAGATTTTTTGGACCAGAAAATTGCAGATCGGAAAAAAGAAAAACAAAAAGGAACTTTGGGGTTCTACTGTGAATCTCAAACAGAATAATCTTCAAAGTGGGAAAAATGTCCTAATTGCCCAATTAATTACCTTCCCTGTTACATAATTCGTAGGTAATAAAAAATAAAAAAACAATTTTAGAGAAACAGTTTTTGTTGGGCTATTACATCAATGATTTAATAGCACTCAAAATAAATAAATGAAATGAAATTATAAGGGAAGGTGACAGTGAGGGTTGAAGAAAAAGGCGGGAGAGAAGGTGAGTATAGTTGAAGGTATGGAAGGAAGCTTAGGTTGAAGGCAATGGCAATGGGGACCCTGCAACAAACATCCATCTGGCCTTGAAACTTGTTTCAGAATATTAGGTGGTGAGGTGAGAGACCGACCGCACCAAATATCTCATGCCAACCTCTAAGCTTAGCTCGCTATCTTACTACTAGTACTACTACTACTACCCACACCTTCTTCATCATAAAAACGAAACCTCACCATCTAGACATCCTCATCCAAACACCATGGAAGCCAGCGCCGGACTTGTTGCCGGTTCTCACAACCGCAATGAACTCGTCGTCATTCATGGCCATGAAGAGGTAATTAATAAATCATGTAATTAATGAATGAACTACAAGTGTATGTGTTTGATGTTTTTCTGATGTTTTCTGATGTTTGATGCCTGCAGCACAAACCATTGAGGAACTTGGATGGGCAGGTGTGTGAGATATGCGGGGACGATGTGGGGTTGACGGTGGATGGAGATTTGTTTGTGGCGTGCAATGAGTGCGGGTTCCCAGTTTGCAGGCCTTGCTATGAGTACGAGCGCAGAGAAGGCTCCCAGAACTGCCCTCAGTGCAAAACCAGATACAAGCGTCTCAAAGGCAGCCCCCGCGTTGAAGGAGATGATGACGAAGAGGACGTGGATGACATTGAACATGAATTCAACATTAATAGTAACCATCATCCAGAAGATGATGATCAACTTAATAATGGCAACACCAGATCATCAACTTATAATAAGCACAATATTAATAATGAGCATCTGGCTGAAGCCATGCTCCATGGCAAGATGAGCTACGGCAGAGGCCCTGACGATCCTGATCAAGACTCCCAATTCCCATCTGTAATTTCCGGTGGCAGATCCCGCCCGGTATTTTCAATCAAACCCCACTAATTCATTTTCATACTGTGAATTAATTAACTCATGTGTACATATGCATTGATCTATGCATTCAGGTTAGCGGCGAGCTCACATTCTTATCTCATGGAGATCAGCATATGCCATCTTCTTCATTGCATAAGCGAGTGCATCCCTATCCAGTTTCTGAGCCCGGTATGATTTATATACTATATTCATTCATTCACTCATTTTATCTATCTATCTATCTATCTATCTTGTTAATTTTTGAAAGATGTATTAGTTTATGGATTAAACTCATTCCTAAAATAGTAATTCAAACTTCCATCACATATACGTTTTGCAATTTATACAGGAAGTGAAAGATGGGATGCTGAGAAGAAAGAGGGAGCTGGGTGGAAAGAAAGAATGGATGACTGGAAAATGCAGCATCAAGGCAACCTGGGGGGCCCTGATCAACCTGATGACTTGAATGATGCAGACATGTCCATGTTCGTACATATACATACAATAAGTCCTTAATTTCATTTATTTATGAACATCATACAATATAATATAATATAATATATGTTGCAAATTGGTACTGCCTGCAGGAGCGATGAAGCTAGGCAGCCACTCTCCAGGAAAGTACCAATTGCATCAAGCAAGATCAACCCTTATCGGATGATCATTGTGGCTCGCCTTTTTATTTTGGCCTTCTTCCTTCGGTATAGGCTTTTGAATCCAGTCTTTGATGCATTTGGTCTCTGGTTAGCCTCTGTCATCTGTGAAATATGGTTTGCGTTTTCGTGGATCCTTGATCAGTTCCCAAAGTGGTACCCCATTGATCGTGAGACCTACCTTGATCGCCTTTCACTCAGGTATACATACATATATATTATATATAAGCTCTGCTGACAATGGTTTACACACAATTTACTAATTAATATATAAAATATGTTACTGCAAGCAAACATAATTTCAGCTATGTCATCTGCCTACACAGGACAACTATCAAATGTTTGTTTTTACAAAAAATATTTTAAGGACTTGAAGCCTAATATTCTGCCTCTTTAGTCTCACATTTTGGCAGTAAATAATATGACATGACATAATGCTTGAGATGAAGTAATATGATGTCTGATGTATCTTAAACCTCTATAAAATCAATTCATGGATGCAGGTATGAGAGAGAGGGTGAACCAAATATGCTCTGCCCAGTAGATGTGTTTGTGAGTACTGTGGATCCGATGAAGGAACCTCCACTTAATACAGCCAATACAGTTCTTTCAATCTTGTCTATGGACTACCCTGTTGATAAAATCTCATGCTACATCTCTGATGATGGAGCTTCCATGCTCACCTTTGAAGCCTTGTCAGAAACTGCAGAATTTGCACGCAAATGGGTTCCTTTCTGCAAGAAATTTGCCATTGAGCCTCGAGCCCCCGAGATGTACTTCTCTGAGAAGATTGATTATCTCAAGGACAAAGTCCAGCCAACATTTGTGAAGGAGCGTCGAGCTATGAAGGTGTGTATATGTGCTATAGAATATTATCAATACTAGAACAGACCTGCTTACTTGATTAAGATGCATGATGAAGACTGATTAATTAAGTAGTTAGTTATAGATATATAAATTTTCTTTTGGTGAATGGCCAAATGCATGCAGAGAGAATATGAAGAATTCAAGGTTAGGGTAAATGCGCTTGTTGCCAAAGCCACAAAGGTTCCACCAGAAGGGTGGATTATGCAAGATGGGACACCATGGCCCGGAAACAATACAAAGGATCACCCTGGCATGATTCAAGTCTTTCTTGGTCACAGTGGAGGCCTTGATACTGAAGGAAATGAGCTTCCTCGTCTTGTCTACGTGTCTCGTGAAAAGAGGCCTGGTTTCCAACATCACAAGAAGGCCGGTGCCATGAATGCCCTGGTAATTATATGATATTTTAATTGAAGCGTTCCTTTTCTTCTGTTTGGTTTGGTTGGCCAATTAAAATTGTGCCATGAATCCTTGGTAACAACAGGTTCGTGTCTCTGGAGTGCTTACCAATGCTCCTTTCATGCTCAACTTGGATTGTGACCATTATGTGAACAACAGCAAGGCTGCGAGAGAGGCCATGTGTTTCTTGATGGACCCCCAAATTGGAAGGAAGGTTTGCTATGTCCAGTTCCCTCAAAGATTTGATGGCATTGACAGGAACGATCGTTATGCCAACAGAAATACAGTCTTCTTCGATGTAAGCATGAAACATATTAGATATTGTTTCTTTGAATAAACTGTGCCAGTATGAATTGAAATGATGTTCTCTTTCTCTTTGGTTTTCAGATTAACATGAAAGGTCTTGATGGAATTCAAGGTCCTGTGTATGTGGGCACAGGATGTGTGTTCAGAAGGCAAGCTTTGTATGGCTATGATCCTCCAAAGGGTCCTAAGCGCCCAAAGATGGTAAGCTGTGACTGCTGCCCATGTTTTGGACGCCGCAAGAAGCTTCCAAAGTATTCCAAGCATGCTGCAAATGGACAAGGTGCAAACCTACAAGGTGGGCATCAATAATCAAACGATTTTTTTGTTTCTTAACCAATTTGCTACCTTGCCTGAGTAAAAACTAAACCTGTATTCATATTGTGCAGGAGTGGATGATGACAAAGAGCTATTGATGTCCCAAATGAATTTCGAAAAGAAATTCGGACAGTCCGCAGTTTTTGTGACTTCAACTTTAATGGAACAAGGTGGTGTCCCTCCTTCCTCAAGCCCTGCGGCCATGCTTAAAGAAGCCATTCACGTAATCAGTTGCGGTTATGAAGACAAAACTGAATGGGGTTTAGAGGTAAAGTTTGTAACAATTCCTTTTTATTGGTCAAGTTAGAGTAGATTCTCTTGATTCATTATTGAATATATTGCTACTATTTCAAATGCAGCTGGGTTGGATTTACGGGTCTATCACAGAGGATATCCTAACAGGTTTCAAGATGCATTGCCGGGGTTGGAGGTCAATTTACTGTATGCCAGAGAGACCTGCATTCAAGGGAACAGCTCCCATTAACTTGTCAGATAGGCTCAACCAGGTGCTTCGTTGGGCACTTGGTTCCATTGAGATCTTTTTCAGTCGCCACAGTCCACTCTGGTATGGCTACAAGGGAGGGAAGCTCAAGTGGCTTGAGCGGTTCGCTTATGTCAACACTACTGTCTACCCTTTCACCTCCCTTCCTCTCCTTGCCTATTGTATCCTACCTGCTGTCTGCTTGCTCACCGATAAATTCATCATGCCATCGGTAACAATTTCTAGTTATCTTTTACATTACACTGGATGGTAGAAGATGATAAATAACAAATGATTAGACACAAACGCAAATGGAAATAATTCCACTTCTTCGTGCATTTACAGGCAAAGAAAGAGTACGTTGATAGTAATCATCACCTGAAAAACATAGAAAGAAGTTGAACCTTATGCTAGTTCTAACAGCTTTTCCCTGTGCTTCTTCCACAACGACTTTCAAATATATATACTTTTTCATCTGATATAAGTTGTTTGCTTTTTCTGAAACTCCAGATAAGCACTTTTGCAAGTCTCTTCTTCATAGCTCTGTTCCTCTCAATCTTTGCCACGGGCATTCTTGAGCTGCGATGGAGTGGAGTGAGCATCGAAGAATGGTGGAGAAATGAGCAATTCTGGGTGATTGGTGGTGTGTCAGCTCACCTCTTTGCTGTTATCCAAGGCCTTCTGAAGGTTTTGGCTGGAATTGACACCAACTTCACTGTGACTGCCAAGTCATCAGATGATGAGGATTTTGGAGAATTGTACGCCTTTAAATGGACAACCCTCCTAATCCCTCCAACCACTATCTTAGTCATTAACCTTGTTGGAGTAGTTGCTGGGATTTCAGACGCCATAAACAATGGGTACCAATCATGGGGACCTCTATTTGGAAAGCTCTTCTTTTCATTTTGGGTGATTATCCATCTCTATCCATTCCTTAAAGGTCTCATGGGGCGGCAGAACCGGACGCCAACTATTGTTGTCATTTGGTCAGTGCTCCTGGCTTCTATCTTCTCCTTACTCTGGGTCCGAATTGATCCATTTGTGTTAAAAACCAAGGGACCTGACACGAAGCAATGCGGAATCAATTGCTGAAAATACTTGTATCCCTTTTGTCCTTTTCAAATGTGCATCTCCAGAAGATATATGCTGCATTCTTGTCTTTACAGAGTATGATGTCTAAACAACAAAAAGGAGATGCAAGAATGAATAAAGGCAGACTACAAATTTTTGTGTAGCTTAAGTGCAATGTACCCAGTTTTGTAAGTGAATTGGAAAGTGTTGGTGTGATACTTTGTGCTAACTGACAAGGGATCTGAATTGATTCTCAGTTTATTATCATTTAAAACTGCAGATATATATATATATATTTTTTGTATTGTGTACTTACGTTGCAGAACCTTCACATCCCGCTTATCAATAATGTAATATCTTGAAAATCATTGAGACTTGTATTGAATTGGATAGCCAGATGAATCAGAATACAGGTTGCAAAAAGGACTTGCTACAAGAGCTTGCCGGGTGTATATTAGGAGAAGAGTGTTGAAACACTAGTGTTTCCTGCAAGGCAGTTGGGAAACATAACATTAATGTTGTTATGGAATGCCATCCCATAGTATTAAACGGGCGTCCGCCTTTTAGTTTCCACGTAAACAGTACAAAATGGGTCAACTGGTGATTTGCCCCTGAACTTACATTACTTTCAATTTATCTCCTATATATATATATATATATATTTTTTTATAGAAAATTAAGAATATGAAAAAAAAAATTTGTTGCCAATTTTCCCCCTCCGTTTAAATCCACAACATTTTATTCAATTAGCCGTTAAATATGAGGGCAAAATGGTCATTTTGTATATTAAAAATAAATAATAAAAAAATTGAAATTCTCTCTCTCTCTCTCTCTCTCTTAATTGTTCTGGTTCTCACTGTGCAAATATTGGCCAAGACGTGGTTTCAAGCTGACCACACAACTTGCAAGACCATAGGCAATGGCAGCTGCTGTGGGCTCATAGATGATACGGAGGACATTGATTCCAGCAAAAAATTTCATATCCTTAATTTTCTTAAAAAAAGGATAGGGAGTTAATCGAAAGCTAGGTACAAGTTCAGGGGGCAAATCACTAGTTAACCCGTACAAAACTGCATACCGTGCTTGCATACCGTGTAGAAAATTGTGGTGTCACCAATAGTCTCCACAAGAACACGCACCATCTTTGAAATGATGGAATCTATTAGCATCCCTAACTACAATAACTCTTTCCGTGATCTTGGATATAAATTTAGTTGCATTATGGCAATCTAAACAAACCCGGAGATTCTTAAAGATTCTAATTTCTGTCCCAGGTGCAGTTTCGATAAGGGCAAAAGCAATGGCCAACTTCTCACTATGAACCTTCACCATTAATTCCTTCTCTTCCTCCTCCACATCATGCAAAACAGTGACAGTTTCAGTTTGAAATCCAGCCTCCATCATTTTTCCTGTTAGTTTGTCTAGCATCCTATAGATTTCTGTTGCTCGAGGATGAGATCGATCACCACATGTAAACACATGTGGGGTCTCACCAATCTCAACAAGAGTGCATCCAGGAGTCTTTGCCAAATTTCTGTTCTTGACTACCTGTCGTACTGAAGCAGCCTTTGGAAAGTTCCTGTCAGCTGAGTATATATTAGAGAGCAAGACATAATATCCTGTATTTTCTGGATCCAATTCAAATAGCCTTTCAGAAGCCACACGAGCCAGTTCTGTTTCTTTGTGAATCATGCAAGCACCAAGCAAGGCACCCCAAACAGCAGGACCTGGCTCAACCGGCATTTCTTTTATAAACTCCAAGGCCTTCTCTAACTTTCCAGCTCTGCCAAGGATGTCAACCATGCAGGCATAATGCTCAGCTAAGGGCTCAAAGCCATGGTTATGAACCATATAATGAAAAATTTCTTCACCTTCTCTCACCAGGCCAGCATGGCTGCAAGCATACAGAACAGAGAGAAAAGTAACCCCACTTGGTTGAATCCCAGAATGCAACATTTCAGTAAAGAGCTTCAGTGCTTCATGCCCGTCACCATGGAGACCATAAGCAGATATCATGGCATTCCAAGTAACCACATTTTTCTCTGTCATCAAGTCAAATAATTTCCGAGCTTCCACAATGCTCCCACACTTTGCATACATGTCAACTAGAGCAGTCAATACATAGATGTTAGACTCTAGATTTTTGCTCTTAATCAAACCATGGACCCATTTCCCAAGACTTACAGCTCCAAGCTGAGCACAGGCAGAAAGAATACTTGTAACTGTAACAGGGTTTGGACTAAATTCAGACATCATTTCTCTGAAAAGAGATATTGCAGCCTCTGTCAGCCCATTTTGGGTATAACCTGAGATCATGGCATTCCAAGATGCCAAAGTTTTCTCTGGAGACTCATCAAAAAGCTGCCATGCTAATTCAATTTCATTCAGTCTACAATAAACGGTAACAAAGGCAGTAGAGACTGAAGGATGCGAAACAATCCCAGATTTCACACAGAAAGTTTGAAGAGAACCAGTGAGTTGCAGATGACCAAAAGGAGAAGACACAGGAATCAACCCCACAATTGTGCTTGAGTTGACTTTCTCCCCAGAAGCAAGCAATTCCCTGAAAAGACTAACTGATGATACGGTCTCATTGTTGCAAGTATATCCAGCAATCATGGCATTATAACATATCAAATCCGGTTGAGTAATATGCCCAAATAATAACCTTGCCGTCTCTAGCTCCCTGCACTTTGAATACAACGAAACCAACCCAGTAAGCACATGAACATCTGAATGAAAGCCGACCTTCAGAGCCAAACAATGAATCCCCATCCCTGCTTTCAACTCCTGCAACTCGGCCAGTGCAGGCAGCTCGGTTGCCAATGTCGTCGAATCAAAAGCTGTCCCACCCACCACCATATCTCTAAAAATCCGCATTGAATCGGCATAGTAACAATTCCTCACCAACCCAGATATCATCGTATTCCACAAAACCGTGTCCTTTTCCGGCATTCCATCAAACACCTTCTGTGCTAACTCAACCCGAGAAAACTTGAAGTAAAAGTCAACAATAATGGATCCAACATATAAATTTGATCCTAACCCATCAATAATCGAATGCGCGTGCAACAAAAGACCATATTTTTCGTCCTTAAAACCCGAAGCGGCTGATATAGCAAATGCGTAAGTGAACTTGTCAGGGTTGAGACTAGTGTTTTTCCTCAAATGGGTATACAAAGAAAGCGAAGATAAAGGTGAGGCATTGCTGGCGAAGCCTCTGATGAGGACGTTGAAGAGGAAAAGGTCTGGTTTTGGGATGGAGAGGAAGAGGTCACGTGAGTGGCGTATGGCCTTGAGGTCGGAGAACTTGTGAGTGAGCTTGGTGACGGTGGCGAGGTCGTTTTGGTAGCCGTTGAGGATGATTTGGGCGTGGGTCTGGGTGAGGTGAGAGAGAGAGGTAGCCTTGCTGAGGAGGCTAAGGAAGAAGTTCCGATCACGTTGCGCATAGCAGCCGCTTATGTTTCTGCAAATCATATGTCTTGTGTTTTGTGCTTTGCTTTTCGGAGAGTCTGATGTTTTTTCATTTAGGTGGCACTCGTCGCAGTTATATTTAACTGTTTGGTTTGGTTCTTCCGAAAAATGGCGGGAATCCCTCTCTCCTTCTTAACAAATCATTGTAGGGAAACAACACGTGAAGTGAGAGCGTAGAAATTGAGGTTGTGTTTGGAGGTGGCTTTATTTTTCATCTTCTTCGTCTTTCTCAACTGCAACTAGAGAAAGTATCGACAACACAAGACATGGTTTGTTAAGAAGTACCCCTCCATCCAAAATATGCAAAACTCAAATCCAAGACAACATAGATGCAACATTGGTTACGAGTATTTTCCTATTTCATTTCCTGTGAAACTTTTGCTTCTACATGGAATTCAAATCCTTTGCTTCCTTTGCATTTTCTTTTCATCTGCGTAATACAAAAAAAATTACAGTGGGGAAGCACGGAGCCAAGGGCTCTTTGCTCAGAAAAGTAGGAAAAAATTGGAATGGAACAAGATGACATTCCAAGGCTAAAAAATCAATTTACATTCACAGAGAGAACCGAGGAGAGACATTTATCTCTCTCTGCCCAGGTATTTTAACCCTTCAGAATTGACAAAGCTGACTTATGATATTATTATTGCCTTAGAAACTAGTCAGGATCAAGAAGCTGTCTTGATTGCCAAAATTGGCCGCTCACGCTTCCCAAGTCTTGTTTCATTTGTATGAGATGGGTTCTGAGGCTGTATTCCTCTACCTGCTTTGACCCAACAGTAATCAAAAACTAAAACAATAAAACACTTCAAAGAAAAAAAATAACTTGAAAAGAAATCAGATTTCATCGATTTGCACTTTTCCTGATTACATTTTGTTCATTATAACTCATGGTCTCATTGTCTTACCTGCATAGCTGCTGCTGAAGCCAGAAGTGCTTCACACTCGTCAAGCATGACTTTCTCCTGTGCTGCTACAACAGCAAGTTCCGAAACCAAACTGTTCACGCCCTCCACCTACATCATATAAATATAAAGTTCTGCAAAATTAGGTACATCCTTTCAAAAGATAGCATCCTCAAAACACAAACTTTGCTTGCACAAGATATGCAACCTCTACATCATTGATCATTTTCTATATGTCATGAACAGTGCAGGAAACAGTAGGGGGATGAAAGCTATGACAACATGATCGGCATAAAACAATAGAAACATGAATCTCACCCTTGAGAGCAAAGAGCATATGGAGGATGCCATTGCCCGCATCACATCAACAGCTGAGCAGATAGCTACCTTCAGAGAATCAATATCTGCCTGTAAAAGCATAAACTTATAGTGATGCAAAAATCTCTCTTTCATAAATCAGATTTAATGATCTTTTACAAACCAACATACCCTTGCTCCTCCAGTCACTGGAAGACGGAGTGTGCTTGCCTCCAAATCTTCCATAGCCCCTGAGAAAGCAGCAATATGATCGCTTTCAAGTACAGCCCAGTCGTCAAGGTAGGCCATCTGAACAATCATTGTTCATGCAAGGACATTGAAACAGTATTATATAAGAATTGATATCACGGACAGTAAAGGTATGAGTTCAGAAATAATAGAGATGTAATATGGGAGACCACAAGTTAACAGGAAAGTTTGTGAACTAAGATATGCCCAACATGATTTATTATTTCCAACAAACGTCACTCTTAGCACAATTGTGCTTGGCTTCAATCAGTTTCTGACTGAACACGATTACAAACACAACATGATAATTATTTTGGCTTCCTTCATCATCAACTCCTCTTCTATTAGACAGATGGATGCTTAAAATATTTATTCCCTGATAACAAGGCCACTTAAGAGCTATTTCAAACAATTTCAAACAATTTCAAACGTTCACATGGAAAAAAATCTTATAATGCATCACGTCTTCCTGTTGCAGAATAATCTGAAGGCCACATTAATTCTTAGTCGACTTGGAGAAATCCTTAATGGATCAATGCAATCAATAAAAATATTGCCGATAAAATGATATCACTGTTGTGCAAAAGAGGCATTACTTGATCATTCAATACTGAGTTCAGCTTAAGCTCAAGGTTCAACTGCTGGAGAATGATTCTTTTCCTGATTACTGAATCCCACAAGCTCAGCGTAGTGTTCCATACATTCAATAGTGTTCTCTGCACCATCAATTAAATTTCCGATGTAATTTGACATGTACTGTGAAAAAATAGAAGATATATTCTTCACTGGGAATGCAGTATGCACAACCTCGACCATGCAACAAATCGAATATAATATATAAACCATTCAGTATTCTGTACAAAGTGGGCAATATACTATAATGCAATAATTATTTTTCAGTTTGTAACCTTAACTATCACTCATGAGCAACTAATAAGATATTCCTCCACTGCATCATGTAAAAAAAACCATAGTAGTTGAGAACTGCAAAGACCTCACTATGTGGTCAAATGCGTGGGTATGTATGTCCATTCCCGCTCTCAAGTCATCAGTACTTATTTAACTGAAATTAGTAACACAGGACATGATAAACAATACCAGGATATAGTTAAAGAAATTAGTAGGGCAGAGACATATGCCTAAAAGTTTGCTAGTTTTAAAGAGAACAAAAGCCCACCTCTGCAGTTACTTTCTGAATATAAAGTACAGCCTCAGCCCTGGCATTAGCAAATCGCCATTGTAAATATCTATTGTAAAGTAAGCGCAGATGATGAGCATCTTCAATGTAAATTGCACCCTTTTTCCCCTTAAAATCCGCAACGAAACTAAGCACAGAAGTTGAACTGCTTGATTGACTACAACTATTGGACGACCTTGTCTTAGATGGACTAACTCCTCTAGAAGGAGGAGTAGATGGTCTTGTTCGAGATGGACTAAGGCCTCTTGTAACAGAGGATGAAAACATTGAGCTCTTACTAGGTGAGGATGGTCGCGATGCAGTAGTAGGCAAAGATTGAGATCTGACTGCAGGAGTTGTTAATGATAACCTGTCTGATAAGCTACTAAAGACAAGCTTGTGAGGTCCAGATACATGCAGGGAATTATCATCAACTAAATTTGCTCGAAGTCCTGCTCTACCACTTTCATTAAGTGATAATAACGCGGCAGCATCACTAGAAGATTTTTGTAAATGTTTATTACCCAAAGCATCAGACGTGGGCAATCTCCTCAGCGTAGACAACCCGACTCCCGGAACCGGTGTAGCAAGCCTGACAATCTTAGCACCAAGATCCACACTTCTATTCAAGGAATTGGAAGATACTTTCCCACCTATTCTACTTGGCCATCGATGCTGATCTATCAATCGGGAATGCAAACCATCGACTGGTTTAGAATTCTCCGATTGATCAGCAGCATTTTTCCCTGTAAGAGGGCTCCTTTTTCTCTCTGGTGTAAGCTTTCGAGGAGCAGGTGTTTCGGCCTGTCTATGTGCCACATTCGAAGATGACCTCAGAGTGCGGTCGGACAGAGCACTAGTAACTGGTTTTTCCTTCTTACTGACAGGAATTGAAATGGTATCAGACTGGAAGGAGACGCTCAAACTTCTCATAGTGGAAGGCCATAAACTCTCCGGCGTCCGACCATTCCCTGTTCTTCTGGATGATAATTGCACATCTACAGAAGAATCCTGGACCGGCGTTGATGGACTTGGCGGGGAAGTGGGTGTGGAAGGACGTTTCCTATCCACAGATTGGGATCTCTTGGGCACCAATTGTGCGGATGGATGCGATGTTCTTGTAAGGTTTGGAGATGGGCAACGCCGAGTACCAGAAGGTGTTGAGGGAGGTGGAGTGGGTGACTTATACCTGGAACTAATTTCCCTCGTTCGAGGACGGCGAGTGGTGACTGCATTATTCTTTTCGGCCGGAACCAACGGTGGTCTTGGCTTCTTTAGTGCTGCTGGCTCTGATTCACGAGCATCCATCCACACTATCCAAATTAGACCACATTGATGGATTCTTTCATCTAAGCTAAATTTACATACTTGACAGCCTAGGCTTTCATTTAATCCCACATTCAATAATCAATGGAATACAACCTGTTGCTTGAAAAGAAGATACCTTTCTCTGCAATAAATCTGCCACAAACGCACAACCAAAAGTAAGAGGCAGCTGAGAGATGGCTAAGAAAAGCATAGAATAAACCCATAAAAAAGAAAAAGAACATTGAAAAGCATACATCTTTACAGAGACTCAGATCTAACTGAGAATGAATTTGAGAATTACAACAAACAATCTCAAAAGGGTATTGTGTTTTCATGGAAAGAGGCCCCAATCCAAGCAGATCAGGCCATGGCAATGAAATTAGGAAGGGGGTAAACAACATCTGGTGCAAATGGGGTCACAGAGAACTGCGGGAAGTGTCACAGCGTGCATAAACGGTTATGGTTAGAGGTTGGTTTTGAATTACCCACAAACTGAATGCAAGGTAGCCTGGTAGGGTAGGGTAGTGATCCCCTAAGAAAATATTGGAAAGATTGGGAGAGTAGACAGTGGGGATGAGGGTGTAGGATAAGAGAAAGGAAGGATGTGTGTGCTGGATGAAGTGTCCTTTTAATTTTCCTCTGGTCCCTCTCACGGGAGTGCCATGGTCGGTTGGGCTGGAAATGGGTCAACTCAACTCTCACAAAACCCCACTATGCACAGTTTGCTTTCTTCTCTCACAACTCTTTTTCATGAAAGGGAATTCAATGAAAGTGATCACAAAACTTGCAAAAAACCAAGCCAAGCTTTCTCTCTCTCTCCAACTTTTTCCAACAAAAAAAAAGGAAAAAAATCTAAAACACACATAGTTATCCTGAGATCAACTGCCACGCATTTACTTACTTTACTAAAATGTTTTATGGGTTTTTCATTTCTTACTCTCACTGTCCCACGCATAAATTTGCAAAAATAATACTAAAATCCTTTACTTCTGTGGATTTTGTTTGTATGCACAATATTTAAATCTTCAATTATTCGAAGGTTGAACTTGCAGGTGCTATTGTTCTTTGGGAAACGAAAAAAGACATGGAGGTCCACGTGGAAGAAGGATCATTGTCCATCCCCATGAATTTTTTGTGTAAAATATCAAAATACAAGACAACATTTAGAAGCAAATTTAGAAGCAAACAAGCATTAAAAGAAAATAGGTAATGCAAACACATCGTTATGTAGGAACTCGATAAAAATATGGGAATTCTTTCAAGATTTATAGAAACTAAAAAATCGATAAAATGCAGAAATGTTTTTTAAAAATTTAAAATTGGAAGAGAAAATGGAAAGCAACGAGGGATCCATGACATAAGTCTGTAGTCGACAGAGTCGTGTCCCTGATATGGAAGACACGTTCAGTGTTTCACTGCTCATGCAATCTCTCTCTCGCAACACCAAAGTTTCAGTCTTTCTGAACATGGAGAAAAGAGAGAGAGTTCAATGAATCTCATAGAACCCTCAATAAAATGAATCATAGAGTTATCAAACAAGCAAATATTCCCCTTTTCTTTTTTTATTTTCTGTTTCGTTTATTCAAACAATAAAAAATTTGGCATTAAGTTTCATAAAACTGAAAACGAGAAGAAAAAAAACGTAAAATTTTCAGATTAAAAGAAATTGCAAAACTTCCTCCAATTATCAAAACCCTAAATTGGCACTCCCAAGAAAAATCGGAAACTCACCAAATTTTGTTGATCTCTTTGAGAATTCGAATCGAAAGGCCGCGGTAGTGGCTGAGATGCGTCGCCGGAAACTGAGGAATTAGCCGGACGGTGATTGAGATTCAAAGTTTTCCGGCGGGAGGTCAGAGTTTGAAGCAAATACCGAGAAGGAGAGGGAGAAAAGATAGGTCTGTATTTGAGGAAATAATTAATAATATTATTTCTTTTTTTGTATTTAAAAAATGGGTTTTGGAATTTTTGAAAAAAATAAATTGCGAAGAGACGGTTATAGTTTGGAGGGAGGGACTGTGAGAGGTCGTTGATTTCGCGCCACCTACTTTGATAAGGCTTGTGGTTAAGTTTAAGCACTTATTATATTATATGGGGACCTATCTGCTGCGTGCAGTCCCACGTAATCATGCATGACTCAGGACCACATGGCGCAAATCAAAGAATTGCAGACGAGTTCTTTTCTTCTTATGTAAATGGTTTTTTAATCAAAATTTTGAGAGATAAATGTGTGTATTACTCCTTTTGGATATTTTATTTTTATTTTTAAATTCCAACAAAAGAATATGTATTGGCCCCAACTGTATTAATTAATTAATAGAACACTTGATAGAGGTCCGGGTCAAGATTGTGATGCTGTAACTGATTAGTTTTTCCTTTCATCGATGCTCTTATAATAAGAAATAAATTTGTACCCTAAGTAGTTTTATATCAACACTTCTGCCACGTAGCATGGCTAGGTAAGCAAATTAACCATTAATTTGAATGAAAATAAAAAAGCAAATTTTTAATAGGAATCTAGTCTAATGACATTAAGGACAAAACTAACTGCTAATCAGGGCATGACTCTTCTAGAGAGACTAAGAACACCAAGCAAACTCAACTAAGTTTCTAGAATCTTAAGAGAGAGAAAAACACATAAAACTCGTAGAGTTTCTGAACTTTATTGAACAAACTAAACTAAAATAAAAAACTAAAACAACAATAGCAAAAGGAAAACTAACCGCTGCTAATTTTCTTTTGGGAGATAACATAGAGAGCACTACCTAGTTATTTCCAAGGCCTCAACGCACCAATGAGATAACCTTGTCTCCAGAAACTTATGAGCGAGTTATGCCAAGGGCAAATATGCAGACATTATTTATATGGTTAATGACAGTTTAATATCATGTAGTTACTCTTAAGACATGTTAGTCCCTATCTTCTCAATGTTTACAATTACTCACACCGACCTTTTAAATTTGTTATGTGGTTCCACCGTTAGGGTTTCTGTCAGATCTCCCCGTTAGTTACCTACGTAACACTATGAGTCCCACATTTCTATATAGCTAGAAATGGTCAAGGACTTATGTGAAGGAAAGATTAATTATTAGATATGGAAAAATGAAATGGAAGGAAGCCTTGTAGAATTAATTATATAAAGTAGATATTGATATATAGCTTGATTTAAGGTAACTCCTTTTGGAACCAGAGCTTAGTCTATTCATTCAGACCTTTAATCTATAGGTATTTCTGAATTTGCGGAGAGGATGGTTGAAGGTAGATTAAGATGTTTCATCTCTAAATTAAGCAATCGAAATATAATAAGCACTCAACTGCAAGTCTGCTACATGCGGTAGTAAACCAACAACTAGAAAAAGTGTTGCTATCTTGTATATTAAACACTAATGATATTTGTAAAAATTCATGGCCTAATTTGCTCCTCAATAAATATAATTTGGAAAAAAAGAAAAAGAAAAAAGAAAGCATGCCGTCCCATCTAATTTGGAAATGTACAAGGTTGTGCGAGACCGTAGCAGTTGAGCTGACCGTCCAGAACAAATCACTACGTAAATAAGACTTGGGACGGCCGTCTTCTGTGTCACCATCATTTATATGTATAGACCAAGAGCACAAGAATATTATTGTTATATTCTCTCCTCTGCTAATTTGTATGGATTAATACTTGGGTTTATCTTTGTAACCTACCAAAAGGCAAACTGGCAACAAGACGACTAGGACATTAGAGCTTCTAAGAGTCAAAATCAAGGGTAACCTTCCATGCCAGAAATCAAGAAGAAGAAGAGAAAAAAGAAGAAGAAAAGGTTTCGATCTTAATTTCACTTTTAAAAATAGAAGAATTGACACCAAACCTAAAATAGAAAGATAATCATCTCTTTCTGTAGTGCAGCAGATGCATCAAGCATCAAGAAAAAGAAAAAAGGAAAAGGAAAAGGAAAAAGAAAAAGAGTGATGATGATGATGATGATTACAAGTTACAACAACTACCCTTATCTTTATTTTCCCTCCAGTTCAGAAAATTTGTATTAAAGGTAAAAGCAACTTCTGCTTGTCCTTCATTTTCTTCTTAATTTGCTTTTTGTGTTTCTTCTTAATTTGCTTTTTGCTTCTAAAGAAACCCAAGTCTACAAGCAAGCAGGGACCATGACATTGACAGCCGCAAGATCATTAAATTATGATATTGTTTTAACTAATAAGTCTAAGGTAAACACAAACCAGTATATGTATATATATATCTGCTGCTTTTAGCCGAAAGCTGGGACCTCCATTTACAGCTCAGAAGAACCACTTAAATCATTTCAAGCAGTGGAAGCTCATCATCTCCAGCACATATATATATATATATACTGGCCTGCATTTAAGGCCATTAAAAAATCAAAAGAAAATTTACCACCCTTGATTGAATACTGAAGCCACACTGTGACACTCACAAATGGCTTTGTGTTTAATTAATCTTCAACAGTAAGAGTACGACTAACCATTTGATCTGCAATGCATAATGTATGACGTATCTATGAAAAAACAAAAACAATAAACTTGACAATTATGAAGTCTGAAGCAAAAGCACACAGAATTTTCTTGTGATAGCTGGGAGCCTGGGACGTGTGATGATTTGGACACATCATATGCTATGCAACACCATGTCTGCTAAAAAGTTAAAAACCATCAACATTTGTCCCATGTCTTTTTGGGTCTACCAATTTTCCTCCTTATTGTCGACTGTCTTCTTCTTGGCTCATTTTGCTTTAATTAGTTTCTTTTTTATTTTCTGAATTAATGAATATTAATTGTTCTCATCTTTTCCACCTCCAAATGAGAACAACCGGTCAGAAACAGAGACAATGTTTTGAGGAGGATACGTCCAAAGCAATAATTTCTTAACATGCATGCAGCTGCACAAGCAAGGCAATCCTATTCCTATTATTATCGAGCATGAAAATCAGAAAGAAATGATCTTGTTTTGTTTCGTTATGATTATTGGTTGATTTTCAGAAACAATTGCTTTGAAGGGAAACAGCATTAATTATGCATCGATTATGAGAACAAATTAATGGATATGTATATATATAATGCCATTTTTGATGAATTAATGAATACAATTTACAAAGACCAAACCAAATGATGGTTGCTCACTCTCATCATGATCATGATCATGTGGTGTTGTGTGGTGTGGTGGAATTATAATAATATAAAATCAAGGAGGAGAATCAAACCCATGATGATGATGATGATGATGATGCATAACATATGATATATTCCATTTCCATGCCCTTTTTCATGTCCTCCCCCTAGTGTAGTGTTGCTATGCGTCTAAGAAAAAGAAAAAGAAAAAGAAAAGTCTGCTAATTGAATATATTTGTGTTCCCATGTGATTAGAGTAGTAGTATTTATTTTATAATATGCGAGTAAAGGTTTATTATTTTGGAATATAAATAATTCAGATGGATGATTTTGTCGTTTCTCATTTTATTATATATTCACCGATTCTAGTTTTGTTTGGTTTCTTTCTGGTTCACATTGGATGCCTTGGCAGCAACAGTACTTGATACGGGAGCGAACACAATGCAATGCCTCTCAAGTTCAACTCATATTAATAAAATTCATAATTTTCTCCTCTCCTCCAACATGTTCCATGTTATAATGTCCTCCAGGCTCTATGCATGACGGAGTCAATTCAGACTGGTTGATTTCTTTTATTTGACATAGATACACCAAACTGAAATCTCTCTTTCATTCATTTGAACCACCTATTACAAATCGGAGAGTTTTTTTTCTTTTCTTGGCGAGCGAACAAATCGAAGAGTTAGATTTATGAAATCAAGCTCACACTGGAAGTACAAACAAGTTAATGTTGCTTGAAATGTTCTTATACCACCTTACACAGGGCTAGAGAACTACGTTCATGTCATGTTAGCAATCAACCTCCTCTTAGCTGCTTTTCTGTGACAACTCTTAAATCCCACTTCAGCTTTATATCAGATGCAAAAGATAGTAACCCATCATCATACACAAACCGGTCTCTGGCGGGCAGCAAAATTACATTTTTTCCATCACTGTTCTTCCAAATGCATCAACCAGCTTGCTCTACTACAGTACAGAATTTGAATCTTTGATGGAACAAGGAATCTTATCAAGCTGCTGCATACGCATAAGAACAGGAGGAAATATTAATATTAATCATCAATAACGTACTAATTCCTTCATGGCTTGTTTCTAAAGATGTAAGCACATACAAGCTCAAGTTTCTATAGAAGTCTGAGTTAATGCGAAACCAATGTTAATATCTACCTCAGCTCTTCGATGCAGATGATTGAGCCTCTTTTGCAGGGCACTTGGAACCAACTTTAAGAAACACCAAATATGTTTCTAGTACTCCAAATATCCAGCAGTCCGCGCCTTGCCCAAAATTGACTCTATGCCATCATTACACAGACCAAAATTCTTTGCCACTGCAAAACCAGCACACATGCCATCCACAGCTGCACTTACAATCCCTCCAGCATAACCCGCTCCTTCACCAACAGGGTAAAGACCTTTCAACGATGTGCTCTCATAAGTGTCAATTCCACGGGGAATCTGGATGGGAGAGCTAGTCCTAGTCTGGAAGCAGATTTAATGATTTTGTAATTGATTAAGATACTGACATCAATAACTATAATTCTTTGGTGGTGGTACAGACTATTTATTATGTTACATCCTGTTGACATAAAAAGAAACTAAAAGGGAAAATCAAATATAATTAACTGGGATTACCTCCACTCCATGAAGAAGGGCCTCTTTGGAGATAAAACCTGGTAACTGAAGGCTCCAAAGTCCGCAACAAGCCAAGTATAATATCAGTAATCATTTGTGCATTCATCACAAGTATTGAAGGTAGTTAACAATTACAAGAGAAGTAAAGTAAAACCTCTTTGTCAAACGCTGAGATTGAATGTTGCAAAGTCTCTGTTATATGAATGGGGAATATCTCGTGGAGATTTGCTGCCTTCACTCCTAGTCGATAACTTGAAGGTGGCACAGATGTCCCTGGAAAAAAAAAAACCAAAGAGCCAAGCTTAGCTTGCTGAACAATTGATGCAAAACTAATAAGAAATGGCATAGCAATCCTACCTGACAACTTATTGTGCAAAAAATCCGTAACTGTCTGCACAGGCACCACAAAATTTCCCCCTCCCATTCTAGCTGCTCTTTGCTCAAATTCCCTCTGAAAAAATTACAACATTAGAACATGTTATAATGCATTTCATCTGAAATTATGAATGTCCAACCAGGCCGAAAGACCCCTTTCTGCATGTTCTATGACATTAGCACAGCACTCAGAAGAGTTTGTTTCATATCATAGAGATGAAAAAAAAATTAGTCATAACAGCTGGTAGGTAAATAAAGGAATACAAAACTGCAGACAAAAGAACATCAGAAATACTAATGGTCCGTTTGGATGAGGGAAAATAACTTGCAATTTAACTAAAAGTCGGGAATTTAAGAGGAGAAATTGACAATTCCCTTGTTTGGAAACTTAAGCACGGAATTTACTAAATGACATGTGGAAAAAGTCGTGGAAATTGGGGCATCAAATTCCTGAGTTTAATTTCCACCAAAATAGGCGTCATTTCACAATTTTCATAGTGCCATTTACAAAATTCTGTCGTTTACAAAATTCGACATACATAAATCCAAACACTGAAATTTTCAATTGCCAGAAATTGGAATAATGGAAATCTAAATTCCGTCATTTTAGAATTCTATGTAATTTTCAATTCCTTCATCCAAACGGAGGGTAAGGGAAAAGTTACCTGAAACTCAACCCCTGCAAGAGGTCCATGGAGATTCAATGCATCAAAATCTTTCATTGAGACGGTTACAACAAGTGCAGCATTTGCCCACTTTGACGCACGTCTAGAAAATGACATGCCATTGATACAGATTTCAGATGGCTTTGTACCAGTGAGAACAACCTGCAAATACCATCTTAGTGACTCCTAGAGTAATATATATGATCATTCTTCACCAGACATTTGCAATGCAAATATGGTTCTGACCACCAGAAATTCAAAAACAGAAAAACATACCTGACCACCGGGACACATACAGAAGGAATAGCAACTACGACTTGTTGCCTGTAAAGGTTCATCCCCATCCTTTCCACTTGCATATTTGGCAACCTTGTAATCTGCCACTGGTACTTTACCACGTCCTCTCCGGACCTCAGTTGCCAGTCCAGAATACTGCATATTTGTTGTAAAAGGAAAAATCAATAAATAGTTACAAAGGGAAAAAGAATTTGCTTCACTTAATAACAATACATCCAAAAATTTCAAATGAAGCTGACAATGCAACCAACCTGTAAGCTGTTTATTACTTCTTGAGGATGCTCAATCCGCAAGCCAACCTGTTCAGCCAATTTAAGTTTTTATCAAGCTAACAAAATATTTTGAACCAAGCACTACACTTAATACCAAGGAAAGTGACTTCACACTAAAACATGCCAAATTAGCCACCAAAAGGATGCTGTACATAATTCCAAGAACAAATATGGAAAGATGACATCTCATTCTTCTGGCAGGAACACCATATCGAGAGGGCAAAAAAGCTTTCCTTTGTTGCATTTACTCCTCCAACTACACTATGTCAGTATCGGTATAAATGACCTTTCCCTCATGTTCGGCTATATTTAATGGATATAATTATGTCATCGACTTCCTTAATCCTACACTCTTATCTCATGTGATCTTTGGACACAATAGTAGTGCCAGAAACTTCTGGAAGACAAAGTATTGGATATAATTTAGGTTACAGTGGCCAGTTGATTTGGAGGATTCACGCATCCAATAGATTCATAAATAGATAAACAACAAAGTTTCTTTGAATAATCTCTATGAAAGGGGTTTTGACCAAAAATAAATAAAAATCTATATGAAAGGGGGAGAAAAGGAACTCACAGCAAAATCTTTTGGGACCAAGTCTATGTTATGAGATAGAAGAGTTTGATAGATATCACGTGCAGAATGCCCAACAGCTAGAACAACAGCATCATATCCCCATTTCTGGGTATTAGACTGTCTGTCAACCGAATCCGAAACTTTGACACCCACAACTTGTCCGTTATCTACAAGGAGATCATCTACCCTCATCCCAAATTTGATGGTAACCTGAGCATGCCAAAAAACAATTATTAAAAGTATAAGAAATGTAAGCCGTAAGCAACATAAATCTAATAATATGCATTTGATTCAGCTAGAAAAAAAAGTGTCACTAACACCCAGATTTTGTAGATGTTGCCGAAAATTGCGAAGTAATGGAATCAATCTATCTGTCCCCAAATGAGGCTTTCCATCAACCAAGATTCCCTCAGGAGCTCCGAAGTGAACTAAAGTTTCCATAACCTGAGAAGTAAATAAATCTGAATCAACCCACATAAAGGATGGGTAATGGCTTAGTGATACTAGTCACCTGAGAGAGAGAGAGAGCGAGAGAGAGAGAGAGAGAGAGAGAGAGAGAGAGAGAGAGAGAGAAAAGGCTACATTGTCTATTATCTATGCCTTGACAGCTCTATATTTCACCGTCCAAATTACATAAAGGGAAGACAATCAAAAGGAATTTTTTTTTTTTGTAGAAACAAGACAATCAAAAGGATAGAGAATGGTTCTGACCGCCAAAACACTGCCACTGTTTCTTCCAATCCTAGTCACCAGCTTTCCATCACTCCATGTACCTGCACCACCCTGCCATGAATAAGTCCTCGATAAATGACTCAATGGTAAACATGTGTATATGCGTGTCTGTGTGTGTAACATAAAGGCACATGTTTTTATCGAGGCAGGAAAACAAAGATAAGTAAGAGCACAAGGTGAATCAAGTTATAAGTATAACCTCCCCAAAGCAAAAATTGCTTTCCGTTTGCAACATTCGGCGGACAACCAGAGCACCAATGTCGCGGCCCCTTTGTTCAACGGGCTGACCTCTTTCTATTAACGTGACATCTGCACCAAATTCTGCAAGAACAAGGGAGGCAAACAACCCTGATGGTCCACTACCCACCACTGCAATTTTTGGTTTTCTAGCCGTCGGATGCGTGTATAATCCTTGGGACCCATTGTTCATGTTGTGCGCACTTTCTCTTGAAACTGTACCTTGATGTACATTTTTAAAGCCAAGTATGATACTGATCAAATCTCCAGATTTATTTGCTTCAGGCATGTGTTCTACCAGCCCAACTTTAGGCTGCAACTCAGAAATGAAATCCCAAGCCCGAGGCTCTAGACTCAGAAGTTTGTTGACATCCATTTCCACAACGTACACGAATTTGGGTTCTTTCAGCCTCTACATAAGAAATAATAAGAGGAAGAGAAAAGCGAATTACTTGATTGATGGGTAACCAAATTGAAACTAGACCAACTTTGCTTTTACCATTTAAAACAATTTCACAGACAGATAGGATGCAAATGGCCATTTCTGCAAGACTTTAACTTCCTAACATCAATCAAAAAAATTTCCATGACACGCAACATATCATACCTTCCTTGCATCAAAAGATTTCCGAACCACCGTGAACGCCTCTGTCGGCAGCATTGAAGCAACCTGAAATGAAAGAGTGGCAACAAGATATGATGAATGTAAAAAAAATGTAGCAACTTGCACAAATGCTTCTTCACATAGACAAAAGTGCTGCCCCAAATGCTTTTACCGGAAACTCGAGCACTTTGGCAATCTGTTCAAGCAGGCCCTCGGAGACGCCGAGAAAGTCCTTTCCAGGGTCCTTGTGGACGGGAACTCCGAGCTTGGAAAGCCTCCAAATACCCGCGAACTTGTTCTTCACGTCCCCTACGATTTCCTGGTGCTTCAATTTGAGCTCCTTCTTCTCTGATGGGTACCTCTGTTTGCCGGTCCTCTTGGCGCTGAGGACTCGGAGTGTTTGGCGACGATGATAAGGGAGTGCACGCATAGGGATATGGTTTGGAGGGTGGAGACACTGGACATGGAGGTGGACAGAGCCAAGCTTGGAGTTAGAGGGAAGGAGGGACATGGCTTCAGTTTACACAGAGCTCTGTGGAGACCGGAGAGTCTCGCGCTTCTGACTAATGAGCTTTGGTTTGGGATAAGGAATTAATACGACATGGCGTTTGTCCCACATGCCACACGTACAGTACGACCCACACGTGAGAAGTGATAAGACAACACAGCCGCGCGGCTATACTATTTATAAAAATAAAAATAAAAGGATCCACCTATCGCCTGGTGCGTGTTTTTGTGAAAAGAGCGGCTATACACTATAAATAGAATTTTGTATTCTGCTTTTTCATTGGTCTAGGAACTTTTGACTATCAAATTTTAATTTTAATTGATTTATTCTCCATCATTTAAAGTCATAATTTTTCTGTTTACCCCCAAAGAAAAAGTCAGATTTTTTCTTAATTGTTCATTTAAAGTAGGACTAACAACTTTTCTCTATTTATCTTATTTCCAATGAGCGGGATCAATTTTTTCTTGTATCATTGCAAATCTTCTTTTGTTATTTCATATAAATACTACTTCATGCTGTCAATTTCATGGATGAAATGTTTCATCTACAGACTTTTAACAGAACTCATTTTTGAAAATTATTGTCCCACAAATCCCAGCACGAGCAGGAAACAATATAAGCAGATGGACTATGGCGGCCATTGATAGGTTGCAGGCTTGCATTGCAGCTCGTGAGCTTTTTCCGGAGCAAGATTTCCGACTTCACCAATTGCCTGCATCTGCATCACGAGGTTGATAGAAGTCGTCTGCCCGTACAATGTTGATCTCTTCAAACTCATTGTCATCTGGAGGCAATAGAGAAAAGTTTTATTAGGCTGCTCCCAAGCAAACATAAGATAAAAGTCAAGACACAATCTGGTCTACCTAATATAGAAGTAGAGCAGTCGCTCCCATCAAACTTTCAAGCATAAAAACTAGTAGGGCGGATAATACAAATCAGTAACAAGTCGTCTAAAGACGTTGTAACTGTGTCTTATGAATAAATCCAAGCTCAAGCAATGATAGAACTATACAAAAATCGTATACAAATTAATCAAACTATAGCAAAGAAAAAAGAGAAAAGACTGCCTTGCCTACTCCCTTGTCATTTTCACACATCATCAATTGCCGTTCTCATACGATAATGATTGTATGAAAGCTTAATTAATTAGGAAAAGCCAACTTCATCAGAACTTAACAAAAACATGACTCAATCAAAATGGTCCTCAAACAGTGTCTGAAATACTTCAGACCACAACCCGACTCTTAAGAAAGAGCACCCCCCTAAACTTTTTCCCATCAAAGTAGGCAACTCCTCAATCTTTGATGTCACATAACTCAACTCATGGTAAGATGCCTTCTGCCCATGAAACTAGGTAAAGTTATACTTTTCTTTTATATTAGATAATCCAACCTTCTAATCCTTGTTTTCAAAGACTAACTTAGATGAGCCAGCAGTGAGAATAATACAGGTAAGATGCATAAAACTAGAGGGACCAAAAAACCAAAAGGATAAGAGATTCAACCTTTTCTCAAGGTCAGTGCCACAACGGCGTCATTCTCAACCTGAAAAGACATGAACATATCATTGAAGACATCATCCACTTTTGGAGCTCAATGAACATAAAATTTTAGAACGTCAATGTGATGAAAATTGGCTGTAGTAGTGAATCTCTAAGTTCGAGTGAGAGAGAGAGAGAGAGAGAGAGAGAGAGAGAGAGAGAGGTGAACTGTACTTTTTGTTTCATACCTTCTGATCTGCCAATGACTTTGAATCCTCTAGTACTTCCCCAGTACTGACTAGGATCAAGCGCTGATCACTTACCGGTTGATCAATAAGATCATGCAACTTTTGCTTAATATCTAAACTTGTCTCAGTTGGTTCACACTGGATAAAGTAAGTTGTCTTACTACGCTTAACACGGATATACATGGCCTGGAAAAAAAAAAGAGACAAACAAATCAGCATACAGTTTTTTTCACTAATAATCAACGAAACATTGAAACCACTAATCTTTTCCTTTAGTCTTATATTCCATACAACTTTCTCTAAAATCAAACCAAAGTAATGGCCAAAATCAACAGCAATTTTAGTCCAAACGCAAGACTAACATTGCTTTACTTGTGAAATTACTTAAACGAAGACACATTGTATCATGTTCCACAAGTTGGCAGCATTTGCTTCCTCCAATAGGGGAAGACGTGGATCTGCTATAAAGTCAGACATGAAAGCCATATTTGAAGGTTGTTCACACGTTGTAATTGTTTTAACTTTGTATTTCAATACATTCCTACTCTATTATATATCATGTAACTTTGATCACCAATTGAATTTCAATTAGACGATCAAAACGATCCCCCAAGTTTTCTCTAAGCACAATCTCCTTACAGTATAATGATTTATTAGCAATTAAATAGATAAACAAAGTCCCTATCCCCTTAACTCACTTCAGGATTAATTTATCAATTATCTTATGTACCAACAATGTAACGAAATGAAAGGGATAAAGAGAATCATGTACACACCATTCTTCAACTCTGAACTGAATAGGGGCAGGAGGACTCAGGAAATCTCTCTTCAATACACTGCCAAGGAAATCCTGTTAAACAGAACTAAATATGACATGTTGATGTTATGCACCACAAAATTAATCACATAATTTAACAAGAAGATAACTATTTGATTTACTTCACTTGCAATTGTATGCAATTGTATCCTACTAACTTTTCCGATATTTTTTTAAGATGAAAAAAGAAAGGATAGTATTAATTAATTCCATCCCTTATACTTTTCCTTAATTTCTCATAATTAAACAAACATATACAACCTCTTACATAAGGAAGGGATGAAGGAACCGAAACATGTACATTGTGAAAGGTAAATTTGTTGGGAACTGAATCATTTCCATAGATTACAGACACAAATTATTGCTTCAACTTGGTATTTTCAGGATGATACAGACCTCAAGAGCAATCAGCAAGCATACAAAATCAAACATTACTCTAGAGTCTAGTGTTGCCCAGTGCACAACAGATACAAACTTAAATCTGCAGTGTGGAGTGTGGACATGTCAAACTTCGAGTGAGAGTCAAACACCAATCAAGAGAAAGTAAAGGATTGAAGAAAATTCATGAAACAAAATCAAATTCAAACCACTATAGAAATCCAAAGAAACAAGGATTGTGGTAGTAGTGAATTCAGGCGAACACAATAACACAAAGCCGCATGTGTTTCAATTGTTGTTTTTGTACAACTTTTTCTCACTCTTACGCATAGTTGCTCTCTTCTGAAACATGGGGAAGCTTTTTGGAGCTTCCCGTCGAACATGTGGTGGGCAACTCTTTTGCATATGTTGCACTCTGCCGCATTTGTCTCTCGTTTTCTCACTCTTTCGCATATGTTTCACTCTGCTGCTGAAACATGGGGAAGCTCTTTGGAGCTTCCCGTCGAACAGCTGGTGGGCAAGTCCAAGGGGTCACACCAGCAGCACACCAGGACCTACACAGCCACTTTCATGGCTGCCAAGGGGTCGCTTGACCCCAGTGACCCCATGGTGGCTCTGCCACCAAAGTTCTATTTTTTATTGAATTGAAAGAAAAAAAAACTTGAACCATTAAAAAATAATCTGGGTATTTTGTATCCACTATGAACATAGAAAGAGAGAGACGAAAGGATCGATTTTGAGAAATATTAATCATTTTATTGTTTGCTAGTAATGAGTTAAGATTCTCCTACCTCGAAGCGGTGGCTTTGTTTTGCTGGCCAAAGTCTACGGTCAGAAATCAACTTCAGCCTCTTTCTTTCGCTGTCCCTGGCTGCACTCGAATCAGGTTCTCCTACGTCTGACGACTTTCCTGTGTTTGGCTGCTGACTCAGACTTATCCCTCCACCGGTCAGGTTGATTCTTCTCTGGTTTTTGAGTCTGGTAGAGGCAGCAGGCAGTTGTTATCTCAGACGCTAGAGAAAACACAAAAGGGTATATTTTTGGGAAATTCACTATTATACCAAATATAGGGGCTCAAATTATAAAAAATCCTACATGAAATGGACTTTAAAAACACACCCAAAACTCATTTACAATATAATAAATAGGCTTTTAACTTCTTGTAAATTATAAAACTGTCATCAATTTCTTAAAACAAGTCCAACCCAAAAATCTCATAAAAATATCTAAAATACTCAATAGGGCATCAAAGTAATTTAATAATCAAAATTAAATTCAATTGGGTCAGTTATTATTTTTTGAATTTATTTATAGAAATTAAATAGTATAGAATTTATCTATATTATTAGTACTAATAATGAATATATGATTAAATATTCACAGTCATACTGCAAATATTTATTATAGGAGCCAGCTTACCTTCCCTAATATCTTATTTATTATAGGAGCCGGCTTACCTTCCCTAATCTAAAACACCGGTTTCTCTTTAATTAATTGCTTTTAAGCAAATCTCCCATCTCTCTCTGTTGTGGGTATGATTTACTTGGTGTTTAGGTAGACAGTGAAAATATCAATCGGTGCCTGTTGTTTTCGGCTGGATTAAGTCTAAACTTGCATCCAAACAAGGCATAGAAAACCAATAAACCACATTAACTCCATCACCGGTCAACCTGTGACCGCCCCGGCTGGCTGTTGTACCTTCAAAGGTGGCAGCGGCTTAACAAGCGCTTGTCTTGTCAGTTCAGCAGCTGCTCGTTAGGGCTTTCCACTCTGCTTTCAGTAGACTTCACCGCACCCAATCGCCTCTTCCTCTCTACCATGGGCAACACATCCTCGATGCTCACTCAGTACGACATCGAAGAAGTCCAGGACCACTGTAACCACACATGTAAGTTGCTAATCCATTCGCCAATTTCTTAGTTCCCCCTTGTGGATCAAGGAGCTTAGTATTTCTGAGCTGTTGGATTTAATTTAATTTGATTTGATTTGAAGTTTCGCAGCAGGAGATAGTTTCTCTGTATCAGAGGTTCTGTCAGCTCGATCGCAGTGGCGGAGGTTTCATCTCCGCCGATGAGTTCTTGTCCGTACCTGAATTCGCCGTCAATCCTCTTTCTCAGGTACAAACACATGAAGG